TACTAATATCAATCCAACATAACATTATATCCATTTACATATATTTGAAATATAAAAGTTAGCTATATATTTACTTTTGCATTTAAATGTTATAAAACTGCCCAAAACTTATGAGGCTCGCATCCTATACAATTGTATTCAATTCAAATGTATAGATTACAAATAATTGTTCAGGGTCTGGATGTTTGTACATGTGCTACATATTTGAGTAAAACGCCTCCACAATACAGGAGAAAATCCTAGTGTTTATAAAAAAGTAAATATTGCTTTAATGACTTTAAAATAATTGTTCTAATTAAAAAAAAACTTACTGAAATTCATGATATAATTTTGTAAAGTAGTTTTATCTATTTAGAATTTAAATTGCAATATCAACACAGAAATATTGTAACTACAAAAGTGCCTAGTTAATTACATATGTAGAGTTAGTTAATTGCCTCCAATATGTGGAAAATGTAATTGTTTGTAATAGAGAGGGTATTCAACTAAAATTTTAACCAAGCAATTAAACTGCAATTGCAAACTGCATTGTAAAACAAATTGCTTGAAATGACATGTTAAGTTTAAGGTATAATTTATTTATAACTTTGTAACAAGTTATAAATATATTAATTGAAAACATCAAGTAACAATATTATTTTATCAAAATAGTTTCATTTAAGTACAAAAAATAATAATGAACATTGCTTATATTTATTTACAATACTGAAAAACTGTTACTTATTTTATGTATTTTAAATGAATTTTCTTCCGATTTATAATGATGTTATTAGGTACAATAATGGAAGGTAAAATACTTAATTTATAAATAGCAAATTGAATTAAGTCTCAGTTGTGTTTATACTTTATACTAGTCTATATGTTCTATAAAAAGTTGTGCAGTTTTCTAATTCTAGACTTTTTTGTTTACATTTTTGTATAAATATTGGTTACATAAGTATTTTTTTATAAATTTGGACAAATCAATATAAACATAGTGTTGTTGATATTTTTTTACATAATTGCAAATTATTCAGTTTTTTTTTAATGTTTTGTACATACTTACATGAACATTTTTTTTGTTCACATGTTCATAAATCCAAAATCTGTGTATTCAATTTTCGTTTATATAAATCACATGATGATTGGAAATATGTAATTTACAATATATTTAAATTTATATGCAACAGTATTAAAAGAAATCATGTTTGGTTTTCAAAACATACTATATTCATATATAAAAGTAATTAAATAACAATATTTTTCAATACTTTGTATTTACATGCATTAGTTAAATCCATTCTTCTCAGCATCTTGGCTGAGACTTTTAAAATGAAATGCCTTCTTACATCTTTTATATCTAATGGAGGTAGCCAACTTTGTGCATAAAGCATGATTAAGTAAGAGCACTTTTAATACAATATATTTAGTTCAGTTTATGGAGTCGTATGCAATGATTAGGGGATACTTGGTTTGGATAGTATGTTAATATGCCTCCTTGTCAATCTAGTCACACTTTCTGCACACAGGAGGCTACTTTCAATAGCATATTATGATCCTTTTATATTATATTAAAAATAAGTTGTTTTCATGATACTATTATTGCCTAATATTTTTTTGTATTATACCAAAATTGTATGTGTGTTACAATCAGATCAGTGTGGACTTTTAAGAAGCTGAGTGTACTTGTTTTATATTATTATTAATATTGTACATATAAATTTAATTAAATACATAGTCATCTTTAACAGTTTTAATTTTTTTTTATATATCAACCTGATTAATGAGCTATTTTGATAACTTTTTTAGTTTGTGGTAAGTGGTGAAGCCATAGATTGTAAATTGCAGTCTTAGTGTTACAAAAAAGTCTATAAATCCGTGAATGTGCATGTTTTATAAAAATGATAACTTCTGTTAGATACTAGTACACTTTGCACCCTTAAGTATATTCTATCAAAATGGTGAATGAAGTAAAAGGACCAAATAAATGAGGGTAGATAATAGAATAGAATACAATAATTTGTATTCAATATAGATTATAGGTCATAATACTTATTGAAAGTCAATTTTTAAAACATCTCTTAATAAAGACGGCCACAATTGCATTTTCACTAATTATAATAACTTTCTTAATTATTATTCTTTTTCAAGCTGGAACACAGCAGTAAGTGTAGTGTAATATTTTAAAACACTTAGCAAATAAAACTGGAAGTATAGCATTTTCCATAGTAATCTCATTATACCCATGGGTCAGGTCGGTCAGGATAGTGTTTGATTGATCATAAGCTTTTTAACTTTAGTATGTATACAAATAAATAATTTTGAAGTGTCCGTTTGTAATGTCAAAATAACAGCTGTTAACTAAATGCATATGAAAGGATATACGGTACTTATAACAAAAACAATTTTTATAATTTTTGTCTGTCTGTCTGTTTGTTCTGGCTAATCTCGGAAACGGCTGGACCGATTTTGACAGGACTTTCACTGGCAAATAGCTGGTATTATAAGGAGTAACTTAGGCTACTTTTAATTTGAAAAGGAGTTAGGGTTCCGCACAAAAAAATTTAAATGTATAAAATTCAAGTAACAAATTCCACACCGGCAAAGTCGCGAGGAACAGCTAGTTTAGTGATATAAGAGTGTAAGTAAGTTTTAAAACAAAATTTCATTTCATTTACTCTTAGAGTAAGGATCTAGCATAAGGTATTGTTTAATTATTGGTAAGAGGATCTTCCATTTTACACAATAATATTATGTTTACTTACAGGGTTAGATCGTGATTCTGGTCTTGATAATGTTCAAAGCTTGTCTAGTCCTAATAGCACAGTCACCCCAATTGTTAACAGTCTTAAAATAAATTGTTGATAGTGCAATACACAAATATGGATGATGACTAGCTTTTGAATTATTTTAAAAATTACTGTGGGCTTCATACTCACTTTTTGCAAGGCAAAAAAGTAATTTACCAATCACAATCAGTAAGGTTTCTTACATATACACTTTGCCAAAAGGAATTCAGAAAAAAGTACTTTACTGACTTAAAAAAGAAGGCGGTACTCAATTCGAATGGTTTTTTTTTCTTTTCGTGTGTTACCTCATAACTTGTTTCTAAGTGAACCGATTTCGATTATTCTTTTTTATCTGAAAGCTGGTACTTCTCATGTGGTTCCATATGAATTTGATCAAGGTCTGACCAATCGTTTTTGATTTATTCTTAATATTTTATATTGAAGTCTGTTGTACAACATTTTTAATTTTACCACTTGTTACTAAGTATGGACCAAAATACACAAGTTGTGCTTTTTGATGTCAATAATAATACAAAAGTTTAAAAAAATGATCATGAGCTGGGATGATCCTGATAATTATTTTATTTTATCAGTATACAACATCGATCACTAATAAAAAACTAGATGCACAATCCCATACAAAAGTTCTCTAAAAACTGTTGCCAAATGTTTTGACGTAATTCTAGTTGATATAAATATACATTAATATAATTTCAACCTTAAGTGAAATGCCTAAGACCGAGGCTTGTCCTTGGACAATGAGAGTGGAGTCGAACTGCACAATATTTTTTGTTACTGTAATTTAAAATTTACAATTTTTTTAAACTTGTTTTAAATAATTGGCTTAATAAAGCATATTCTATTCTATTCTATGGTGTATATGTGTAATGATTATATTATTACCTGAATGTAAATATGCTTTTGGATAGGGCACCACATTCATTTAGTAATGAAAGTAATTGAAACAGTCATAATTATTTATTTATTCTTTATCTTGTGTGAAAAATATAAAGATATTGCTTGACAAACAAGTTAAATCTAAATATAGTAGTTACTAAATATAAAAAATAAGTACAGAAAGTTCTTGCAAAATCTAACAATATTATTGTCCAAATTTTGACATAATGTTCATATATACAGATGTTTAAAAATAAGGATAAGACTAAAAATTATAATGATTTCTTATATTTACGCGTTCACTACACATTTAAATGAAACTAGTTTTACGGAATTTATCACATATATTAACTTATTTTATATTCCCAATGTTTCGAGTACTATAATATTTAGAGAAACAGTAAAGAACTCTCATTAAAAAAAATAAAACAATCAACTATAATAATAAAAAAATAAAGAAACAATAGCGTTTCCACAAATGGAACAGAATCAACGCATATACCTTGAACAATGATGACTTATTTTATTACGACTTCATTTAAAAAATACTTTTGCAATGATTCCTTGACAAAATATCAGTATTTACAATACAGTTATAACAATTAAATAATGTTAATATTAATACTTACCGAAAATATGAAATTCAATCCTTTTTTAGTGTCCTGGATGTGTGATTTTCACACTTTTTAAACAAGCACTGAGGCATGTTTACCGTCTGAGCATTTGAATGCTACTAGATTAAAAGTGCACCCATATGTTCGAGTGGGTGCACATTCGGTTATACCATTTTTTGTCACTTATTGTGTATCTACTTTTTTATTAGTGATCGATGGTATACAAGGAGAAAGTTATTGAATTATTGTACTGCTATCAGTTCCTGATATGCAAATTTTCAAGTTAACTGACCTTCAAGTTGGTGAAAATTGCATTAAGATTCTGTTATATAGATAGATACACATGAAGCTAATAAAGTGTGTTAAAAACAATAATGGCAAATAATTTGACTGCATTGTATTTAGGTACATATCATATCTTCTTTTCTCATTCATGTTTATCACTGAACAACATTATATAAGATATAATATAATTAAAACACTACTATTATTGCCACTTAGTTTCAATATAATTGTATTAGGATCTTTACATAATTAAACAAAGATTAAGTGTTTTTATTATTTCTAACTGTATTAAAATTAGTACCTTCCAGTTTTTAAGTACTTGTTAATAAAAGATGAAGAAATCTAGGAAATAAATAAAGTACAATTTAAGATGGGTATCAACTATTTTATGGTTCTTTTAAGAAAAATGCAATATATATAGTTACTTTATAAACTATTATGCCAAATGTTTTCTGGAAATTCTTTTTAATTTGAAGTGCTGCAAATATCGCAATTCACCATTCCAGTTTTTTAAAACCTCAATTTGTTGTCGATCCATTAAATCGGGCATTTCTATTCCGCATGTACTAAATTCTTCAATTTCTCGTTGTTTTGTTATATTTATAATATCTTCTCTGCTAGCATGCTGACGACTTTTTCTCTGCCCTACTGAATTCTTAAGCACTATTTGTTCTAGTTCTTCATCGAATCTTGTTAAATACGTCTCTATTAAGGATAAGGTTTGTTCTTTACTCAAACAAGAGCAGTCTTCTGGTATTCTTTCCTTAAACCACATAATTTTTTCGCCAATTAAATTATTTTTTATATGTGTTCCAAGTTTGTTATGATTTTTCTTTTCATTTTTCAACATTTTTTTAGCTAGCGATATCGTCTTTCTACTGTTTGGATGCTTCAATTTATCCAAATTCTGCTTTACTTTGGGCATTTTGGTTATTTAAATATTTCAAACTTCATCAAAAATCAATATTCCAAATAAAAACGTACTGTGATTTCATTCCCTTCGTACATATTAAAAAAGACAGTTTATACGAGAATCCAGAAAATTATGAGGATATTTACCTATAATAATCATGTGCAGGTGCACGGCGCGTGCTTCTGTCACTTCAACGTCAATTTGTCAAACTATCTATTGTTGTTGTTGTTTTTATTATTCGCTCGAAAGAGCAGGCAAAGGAACTATGTCATACAGCCTTGTCTTTTTCCTTTTGAGTATATAGAATTTCACTGCTTCATAATAATTTGATGCGTCACATTGTGCAGCCCTTGGGAGATTTTGACGGTAACTTGAGCCAGCAGACAGCTGACAGTTGGCGATGGTATCTAAAGGCGTCTATGCAAAAAAACAGCTTATCTTGAGAATCCATCACAATCAGAGCACTTGTTTCACCGTTTCCACTAATAGTTCACATGCGTAGACAGTTAATACATAAAATCGCACCACTTTTATATATTAAATTCCACTTCAAACTATTATTTAAACTATAATACAGGAGCAGCAAACCGCCGCCGGTCAAGTTCCCGCCAAAACTGTCAAACTATTTTAATGACAGCAATCATAATTTTTTTTAAACTGACTTTACGGCTCTGGGTTCTAGTCCTCCTGAGCCATCATTTATAACGAGCTATCATCAATTATCACGGAGGAACTTCGAGCATCTATTTTATATTTTTTTTTATAGAAGAGGGAGCAAAAAGGCTTGCGGCTCAACTGATTGTAAATGACTACCGCCACCCATGAACAACCGCAACACCAGGGGAATTACAGGTGCGTTGCCGGCCTTTAAGAGATGTGTAAGGTATTTTCTTGAAGGTACCTAAGTTGTATCAGTCCGAAAAATTCACCGGTGGTACACAACAATTCCACAGAGAATGTGTGTGGTACAGAACACGGTGGGCGCACATATAAGACTTTTTAGCGAGAATTTCAAACCTTGTATTCTGTAACTTTATTAAGGCAAATCTGAGTAATTTTGTCGCGAGCTTCACAAACCTATTGGGGGAATTCCCATACATGTGAGAGGTTGCACTAAAATTACTCGAATTTACTTTACGGGAGTATGTGAGATCAACTAAAACTAAAAGTAGGTGTAGTTATGTAATTTTATTTTTTGGAAGAGATTGTTTCATACACTATATATTATTATTGATGTTTTTATTGCTTTTGCAGATAATATTTCCACGCGTAATATTGATTCATAACATATGTTATCGTGAGACTTATTCTCACATAACATTAACGTAAATTTAAATCAGCAAAATTCTCATGGTAAAAACTTAAGTCAGTCCAAATACATGATCTGAAACAGATTAAATTCAAGTTAATGTATTAGTAATCCATACAAATAACAATCAATATATTAATAATGATTAAAGACTTACCACAATATTATCAGAATTTTTCTTCTACTATTGTAGGAAACCTGTAGAAAGTGATTAGATGATTTTGTGCTTTTTGTCTGCACAACGCTTAATTTACTTTCGATTCTGATCACACATCGTGCATAATTTTTTTTTAAATAATAAATTAATTTATAGGTAATACCCCATATAGAGTCAATATGTCACAAAAAATCTTTACACACACAATCACGAAGAAATGAAAATGCCTACAAACGAAAATGAAGTATTCTGTCATTGAATTAATATGTACTTAAGTACTAAAACAGCTATTTCAAACAAACAATGTGCGCTACTCATGTCTTCGTGCATGCGCAGGGAAGAGTAGTGTGGCACATGCACGGTTGGTTTTTATCATATATTATGCGTAGGCAGAACATTGAGTTATAATGTACTACATACTAGAGAAGCTATTCCAAACAAAAAATGTGCGCTTCTCTATGTCTTCGCGCATGTGCGGGAGATAGAAGTCGCGCATGCGCAGTTGATATAAGCGCGTTGCGCCTGCGCGGTCAGTTTTTGTTATCATAGATTAGGTATACGAAGGTAGAATTATCAGTATGTAATAATTGTTTATTTATATTGTATTGTTAATTATATCGGGTACAATTCTTTTATTGTTATATTTGAATACGATCGTACGTAGCGGGCTAAATACCTATTGGTACTTTTAAATAAAACCAACAGATATCTTGATTAAGTATATGTATTACTTTCTTCCAATATCGTTCACTTCTTTATAAAGCACACAAGATACCTTATGCTATTAATAAACACAGAACCATATCGCGTGATAATCTGCTACTAGCGACATCTATTGTTCACAAATAAAATTACAACACTTTATATTGATTTGTTTTACATACTAATCGTGAACATTCCGCCCACCAAGGACATTATCAAAGATATGTCCTTCAATTATAAAGTAGAGTAACAACAACAAAAATAAAACTAGTAATATCCTAAATACACAGAATTAGGCGAAATGAGAAATATAATCTTCTTAATATAACTAAATCAACACACTACTATACTACCATAAACTTAATACAATTATAAATAAGAGCAAAAAATAAATAACGCAAAAATCTTCAACTTGTTACAAAAAAAACTACGATAGCAATTTCATACATTTGAGTTTACTTATTAATTTGATATAGGTAGTATACATAAACGGGAAGTTGGCCGTTTGATTACAGACTTTTTAGTTTTTAATGTGACCACTCGAGTGATATTATCGGGAACGGGATGTTTTTGTAATATTCGACCTAGCAACCAGTGAGCAGGAGGTAAATCATCTTCCTTTATTAAGACGACATCCCCGATTTGGGGCTCAGGATGCTGCAAAGTCCATTTATGACGGTGTAAATAAGATGTAAGATATTCCTGGGACCACCTACGCCAAAAATGCTGCAACATTCTTTGTACTAGATGCCACCTATTCAAGGGACTAATGTTTACATTTTCATAGTTGGCATCAGGTACACCTACTAATGGTTCCCCGACTAAAAAATGACCAGGAGTCAAAGGGACGGGATCTCCTGGATCACCAGTATTCACAACCGTTAAAGGCCTAGAATTTAGGTATGCCTCTACCTGATTGAGGAGGGTGGTCATTTCCTCGAATGTGAGGGTTGAATTTCCTACAATTCTCTTTAAATGGTGTTTTGTAGAACGCACCCCCGCCTCCCATAATCCACCAAAATTGGGAGCATGGGGTGGAATAAAATGCCATTCTGTACCAGTTATTTCTATATTTTTAGCTACTGTTTCCTGTGTGTCACGTAATTCTTTTAGCTCTTTGTCTGCACCAATAAATGTCGAACCGTTATCACTCCACAATGCCGCGCAGTGACCACGTCTAGACACGAACCGTCTAAAAGCAGCAATAAATGCTTGGGCAGTCATGGCGCTGACCACCTCTAAATGTATGGCTTTAGTTGCCATGCATACAAAAAGACAAATATAACCCTTATATGCACGGTGTCCACGCCCTTTCGAAACTCTTAAATTTATTGGACCAGCATAATCTACCCCACTATAGAGAAATGGTCTAGATGGAGTAGCACGCACTGGCGGTAATTGACCCATCAGTTTTCGTATTGGCTCTTTGTCTTATACATGTCACACATCTGTGAACATGTTGCTTCACTAGGCTCTTTAGACCCACTATCCAATAAGCGGATCGCAAATAATTTATCATTAATTGAGGACCACCGTGTAAAGTCTTATGGTGTGCATCAGAAATAATTAATCTGGTCAAATTAGAATTATGTGGCAGTACTATAGGATGTTTGGCATCTTCATCCATAGATGATGCTTGAAGACGACCACCAACTCTTAAAATTTTATTTTTATCTAAGTAAGGCGACAAAGATTTTATTTTACTACCCTTTGCCTGCACATTAGCCCTTCTCTCAATCTCTATATATTCTTCAGCAAATTCTTGTTTCTGGCACTGTCTTATACAACACATTAATGCTTTATCCAATTCCTTTTTTCTCAAATATTTTGTGTGTTCTTCAGTATTCTTATATCTTTTTAATATCCTTTTAAAACGCCTACAATACGCTACAACTCTAAGTAGCTTACTCAGACTAGAATATCGGTCTAATATGGAAACATCAATTGAAGTTACATGAGATGTTGTGGCTTCTTCTGAATGAATATCGGATTCCAATGGTTTCTCATAGACTACCGTCTTGTTTGTGAGAAATTTTGGACCAGACATCCATGGTTTACAATTGATTAGCTCTGATGGTAAAAGGCCTCGTGATGCATAATCCGCCGGATTGTCTCTCGACTTTATGTGAGCCCAATGACTCGAATCTAGTGATGTTAGAATCTCCGAAACGCGATTCGCAACGAAAGTCTTCCAACGACTAGGATGACCCTTTAACCACGCCAACACAACAGTTGAATCTGTCCATGCTCGTACATTATACAGAGGAATTTTTAAAACTTCTGCGACTTCTAAAAGCAAGCGCGTCAGCAGCACAGCACCACATAACTCTAAACGCGGAATACTAATTCTTTTTATGGGAGCGACTCTCGTTTTATCAGATAAGAGGGAGACGTAAACGTTGCCTTTACTGTCCATTATGCGAATGTATACGACTGCTGCATATGCTATATTAGAAGCGTCCGAAAACCCGTGCAATTCGACACATGAATCAGTTGTCTTGGTTCCGCACCATCGAGGAATATGGATTTTGGTGAGTAGTGGTAACTCTTCACGGTAAGTAAGCCATTCCTTTAATAATTTCATTGGAACCTCTGTATCCCATTCTAGACCAGTTAGCCATAGCTTTTGTATAAATGATTTCGCTACTACAATACAAGGTGCTATCCAGCCCAATGGGTCGAATAGCCGTGCTATGTCTGAAATAATACGTCTTTTTGTGGCAGGTTTGACCAGAACCGGAAGCTGCACCGAGAAATGGAACTCGTCATTGCTACGACTCCAGGTAAGTCCCAATATTTTTATTGTAGAATCTAACTTTATTTCTAGATCTTCCGTTCCTTTAT